TGCTGCTGAATCAGCTGCCGCCGGGAAGGGGGTGACCGGCTGCGTGGAGGTTTGTTCTAGGCCCTGCACACGACAGCCCCCAGCTGCGCAGAGCAGCCTCAGCTGGAGGATATAGGAAGCGATGCTATCTGCAGCTCGCAGCAGCCCCAGGCCTGGCCTCTGTGGGAGGAGGGAGTGGCTCTGACGTCCCCAGCTTGGCTGGTGACATCGGTGGACTTGGTCAGCCAGGGCCTCTTTAAATTCCTCTCCAGGCTGATGGACGCTGTGGGGGTGGGGAGCAGGAGGCAGAGGAGCACTCTGAGAACCCTGGCTGGCAAGCAGCCTCAGGCACCACAGTACTGACCCTCCTGGCTTCAGAAAATGGATGTTTCCAAGTTTTCTCTCACTCATGCTGTGCCCTTGGGCCGATGGAGACTGAGGTTGACAAGCAGCCGGGAGCCCCGGGAAAGGATCTGATATGTGCCTTGGACCCAGGGCTGTGCCACGTGTCTCTGGGAAACAGACATGTACCCGCTGTAGCCACCTGCCTGTTCTAAGCACAGAGACCATGGCATCCTGGATGGGAAAAGCAGAGGGGGCAGCAGGTGGTCCTGGGTGGTCGTGGGAACCCATGAGACCTGAACGGCCTGGTGCAGTGGAGTGTGGGCAGGGGGAGGGAAGGGACTGGTCTGGCTTTGTCCCTGGGAGGCCAGTGTCCCTGCACAGCCTAAGGGGACCCTACCTTCCTAGCCTTCCCTAGCCCGATGCTGCCAACTGTTTCCTGCCCCTTCCGTCTCATGTCTCAAAAGTGTCATCCAGACCAGGGCTCAGAGGGAATATGACCACATCTATTTGGGTTCTTTCCGGCACTTTCTTGGCTTGGGAGCAGAGAGCTGATCTCTCTGCGCTTTCGGGCTGGGTCTGTGCCCAGGGTGTGGACTCCTATGGGGTCCCAAGTCTGGAGCTGCCCCAGGTCTAGCGCTGCTCATTCCACCCCCAGAATTCCTCTGACCGTTTCAGGACCCCAGGGGGCTACCCCCAAGGCCCTCACTGTCCTGCTCAGCCCTTCTCCTCCACTTGCATTCCTCTCCAAGGCAGTCTCCAGACAAATCCAGCCCCTAGTCCCCAGCCCCACTGTCTCACCTCCTCTCTGCTGTGCATTTCCCTGCTCCTGCCCATAGTACAGCAGCCCTTCCAACCGGATTGATCACATGCATGCCACTCCTGTGTCCAAACCCTCCCCCGCCCTGTGAGGCCCAACACAGCCTGCTTGACATAACCCCCTGCTCCTTGCTCCCCTGGCCTGCTCCCCAGCCCCTCCCTGCAAGTCCCAGAACATCTAGACTCCTTGTGCCCCAGGACCTTTGCACTTGCTGTACTTGCTGACTCACCCGCCCCCATAAGCCATGGGACAGGTCCCCCTCTCCCTGTGTCTGTGCTGACTTTTCCCTGGGGTGTCACCTTTTCAGGGAGGCCCTTCTATCCCCTCTGACTGGCAGCACTCCCCACCTCAGTTCCTTTTTTCCTGTTTCATTTCATATGGGTGCTTGTCACCATATGCCACCCTGTGTGCTTTGTTTGTTTATGGTCAGGGTGGGGCGGGGAGGGGGTGGCTGTTGTTTCTGTTGGAGAATTCCGGTTGCCTTTTGCTGTGGAGTTCTAGAGCCTCCAGCTCCTCCCCGCACAGCAGGTGCCTGCGTGAGTGAGCAGTAAGGCTGCCAGGACTTGGTTCACATAGCCTGCTCGTGGGTGCATCTGGCTCTTGAAGCCAGAATGGGAGTGGGTGAAGGCTTGAAGGAACAGCAGAGTCTAGGTAACCATGGGGAGGGGACAGGGCTAGAGGACACTTTCCTCACTAGGAAGAGAAGGGCGCTAAGGGGCTGCGCCTCTGGCAGTCCCCTGAAAGTTTGCACAGGGTTTGGAGTGAGCCCGTGCCCTGCCAGGAGCAAGTGCAAGAGGCTCATCCAGCACACACTGGGCTCTGCCCCTTCTGGCTGAGGGCACAGTGGCCTCTGGCAAGTGCCCACTATGCCCACAACCTGGCTCCTACTTCCTCCTCCTGTGTCACTGGCTGAGCAGGCACCAGCAGGAAGTTCTGGGCCAACAAGTGTGTGCCAAGGAGGAAGTGACAGGAGGAGGCTGAGTGCAGGCCCCTTCTTTGGGCAGGGGGGGTCAGCTGGGGTCGGCCTGTCCCCCCACCCCGCGGCACCTAGGGGTCCCTCCTCCTGTGGCCATCCCTTCGCTCAGCTCTGCCCAGCAGGCACCCCTGCAGGCCCATTACTCTTCCCCTGGCACCAGTTGTACGGGGATAGTCCCAGATGGCTCCCTGACCCGGAGACAAAGGCCACCCTGTGCCCAGCCCTGGGCTGGGTCACACTGAGCCTTCTGTTTCCAGGCAGGGGTGAGGGGCAGACAGCACCAAGGTGACAGGCCTTTTTCCTGTCTCCCTCCCTACCCCGGACCCCTGCCTCCCCGGGTCTGAGGAGCTGGCTCTCCCAAGAGAAGGCGACAGAGACGTGTCTAGCGCTCAGAAACAGCACACCATTCACCGCCCATCTGCCCCCTCACATCCAAGACCCTGCAGGGTTCAATGCCCTGATTGTGCATGGCAGAAAGAGGCGTCCACCCTTTGGTCACCACCCCCACTGCTTGCTCCCCTGTCACCATGTGGAAGTCCATCCCTACATCTGACCTTCATCCCTCTTACCGTGGCCACTCCCCCTGGGCATCTTCTCCAGCAGCAGCAGAACAGCTGGTCCCCATCCCCACATCGTGGCCCCACATTCCTGCCCGCAGTTTTACCTTCCTGCTGGCTTGCTGGCCCCCCCTCCATCCCAGCCCAGATGTGAGCTCGTTGTGGCTCCTTGCTCCTAACTGAACCCTGGTGAGAACAGGTTGCCCTACAGGGCTGGCTCCCCCTAGATTGCAGAAACTGGCATCTCCGTCCCAGAAGCCTTTTAGGAACTGACCTTCCCTTTGCTGCGCCATGCACACACATTGAGAGCAAGGGAGTGAGATTAATGGAAATTCCTGGTAGATTGCTGAGCCACAAACTTGTTGTGCTACACCAGAAATCCTAGGCAGAAAGATGGCTTTAGAAAGGGCTGTGGCTGGTCTTTCCTGGCACAGCTCGGGCCTCAGGCAGCCAAGTGCCCACCTGCACCCGTGCCCCACTCCCCAGGATGGCCATGAGCAGACTTCAAGGGCTGCGTGGCCCGATGGTGCTTGTTTTCAGGGCAGGGCCATTTCCAAGCCTGGTAGGGGGTCCCCTGCACTACCTGGCAAACTCTCCCCCTTCCCCTGGCCCTTAGGACTCGCTGCCTCAGCCCAGTAGAATCACCTAGAGGCCTGGGCAGTTACTCTCCCTACTCAGGCCCCCTACTCGGGTGTCACATTGGATAGTGTGGTCGTCACATAAGGCGTGTCTGGGTCCTCTCATCCTTGGAACTCATGCCATCCTGCCCATGGCCGTGACCTCTTTCTAAGGGTCTCCTCAGGCTGGATGCTACTTCCAAAATGGAAGGCTGGCGGTTGCACAACCCACTTCCCTCAAAGCATCCAGTCAGAGATGCCAGCAGGTGGCAGGCCCAATGCAGCGCACAGAGCCACAGAGGTGGCTGGTCGGGGTGAAAGGGCCAATTGGGCCTTGCCAGGGAGGCTGACAAAGCCTTTGGGCCACCTTTGCAGCAAAGGCGTTATCATCAGCCCCGGGGGTGGGGGACTGAGAACAGGGACTTCAGTTTATGCAGTACAGAAGCTCTGTGCCCAACACAGTGACCACTTGGGCGGTGGGGGGCGGTGGGGGGCGGTGAGGCTACAGAGCCCAGACCTCTCCACCTGCCAGGAGGGCCTCCCAGGCCTTGGGGTTCAGTAGAAAACTGGGGGCCACGGCCGAGCTGTGCTCAGGGGCAGCCAGGCCAGAGGAGACGCCAGGGATAGGACCTGTTCCTGTCTGGCTGAGGAGAGGACAAGCTCATTAAGCAGAACAAACATGTTACTGACCCATAATCCCTTAAACCTGGAGCATTCAGGAGGGGCCTAGTTGCCTTGGCAACCATGGACCAGCTGGGTGGCTGGGCCAGGAGTGTCCTCCAGGCGTGGGTTGTGCCTTGTACGTGGGTGAAAGCTGGGAGGACTGCGGGCAGGTACCCTCACTGCTGCCCACTGGTCCTAGCAGTCTGCCAGGCCTCATGTGGGGCTCTTGGCCCCAGCCCCTCTGCAGCTGAGGGCCACCTGGGCAGGATGAAGGGCAGCTGCACCCAGCTTTGGAGACCCCAGAGAGGAACGGAGCAGGATAGCGGAGGAAGAGGAGGAGGCTGTGGGAAGCAGCCACTGCATAGGATCCCTGTGGGTGGCCAGCGGCGATGGGGGAAGCAGAGAAGCTCGCTGCCCCCCACTGTGTCTCCTGCAGAAGCCACCCAGCCTGCCGTGGGGAGGAGAGGGGAGGAGCCAGCAGGCTGCAGGCCCCTGCCCCTGGGGACAGATGTTTCCTGTAAATTCCATCCATCCCCTGAGGCTTGGAGGAGAGGGCTGAGCCCTCCACGGACCGGCACATGCCCCTCCCTCTGCATGACCCCTGGGAACCTAGGACAGCCAAGAGCAGGGGACCTTCTGGTGTCGGAATATGGGAGAAACAGGATTTGGATCGGACCACATCTGGGCCTTGGTCAGGAGGGCTCCCTGGCTCTTGCACTGCAGCTGCCACACACAGATGGTGAAGAGCTGCCAGCCCCTAGGCCCCTGCTACCCCTGCAGCTAGCCGAGGAGGGGGCCCCCAAGTATTCCCTGCTCATCACGCCTATGGTCATCGTCAGTGCACCATGGGCTCCTGGACCCAGCTGACAGACAGCTCCCTGGGGCAGGGAATTCTGAGGACAGGGGCAGAGAGAGCTTGACCTAAGGTGGAGACACAGCCCTACTTCTGGGCCTGTGGGGCAACAGAGCCCCACGGCAGACCACAGCCCAAATCCACAATGGGTGTAGTAGATCTGGGTACCCTGCTGCTTCCTCGCCCCAGGACCATGAACAAGATGAAGAACTTTAAGCGCCGGTTCTCCCTGTCTGTGCCCCGCACTGAGACCATTGAAGAGTCACTGGCTGAGTTCACGGAGCAGCTCACCCAGCTGCACAACCGACGGAATGAGGGTGAGGGCCCAGCCAACACCCTCTCCACCGCCCTGGGGATTGGGGCAGGGGTTGGGGTTGGACGGAGCCCCCTCGAGAGCTGCTGATGCCTGGCCACTTTCAGACCTGCAACTCAATCCCCTCGGTGGAGACCCCCAACCGGAGCCCAGTGCCCTGTCCCCCACAGACAGCGGGGAGGAGCTGGGGCGCCCATCCCCTGGCATGCAGTACCGCCAGCCCCAGAGCCAGCGCCGCTTCTCCATGGAGGTGAGCGGGGCCCAGAGAGGGTGCAGAGCCTCCAGAGAGCACACAGCAGCCCCTGGGGGAGGAGTGGGAAAGTCCCAGAGCACCGCCCCCCCCCACCCAGGCCACCGTGCAGCAGCTGGGAGCTAGCCGGACACTTGACCTTTTCCAGGGAAAGCTGGGCCCAGAGGCAGGGACGACAGCTGTACAGCCCTGGCTACCCTGTGGCCAATACTGGGGTCCCCATCTCAGCCGGGTCTCCCCCTAGGATATCAGCAAGAGGCTCTCGCTGCCCATGGATATCCGCCTGCCCCAAGAATTCCTGCAGAAGCTACAGCTAGAGAACCCATACCTGCCCAAGCCGATCAGCCGCATGTCCCGCCGCGCCTCACTGGTGAGTCCAGAGGGTCAGAGGTCACAGGGTAGGACATCCTCTCCCCAGCATTGGTTTTAGCACTCTGGGTCTTTCCTGTCCTGGTCTTGCCTTGAGACCCTGGGTGATTTGCAGGGAGATAACTGGGGCTCTGGCGCCACCTGCTGGCTTAGTGGATTTTACTAGCTCATCCTCCAGGATCAACCCGTTTCCTGTCTGAACACCAGCCCCCCACTGTCTCCCAGGGTCTTTACCGGCTGGTACCAACAAAGTAGCTGACATGGGCCTCCAAGTCCTGGGCTGTCTATCAAATTTTCCTGCAAAACCAGGTTCTAGGCTCTACCCTACGTACCTAAGGTTAGCCTCCGAGGGAGGGTGACCTACAAACTATCTAAACTAAGAGTCCGGTGCACTGAGCTAGAAGAAGGACACACAGCTGAGAGGGGCTGTTGGGGAAAAGGTTCTGAACAGGACACTTGAGGAAGATGGAGAGAGAGACAGTGCCTGCCCTGGAGGAGCCCATGGCCTGAGCAAGGCAGAGAGGGGTAGGTAGCCCAGGGGTACAACGGGCCCAAGTGCTCAATAGGTCCAGGTATGCAGAGGCACAGGTATACAACAGGCCCAGATGTGCAAGGCCAGGTATACAATTGGTCCAGGTGTGCAAGGCCCAGGCTGCAGAAGCCTGGGTGTGCAGAGACCCAGATGTGGAATATCCCTAGGTGTACAACAGGTCCAGGTATGCAGCAGGTCCAGGTGTGCAAGGCCCAGGTGTGCAAGGCCCAGGTATACAACAGGCCAGGTTTGTAGCACTGAGCTCCACACCTCACTCTCCTGAGTGCCCCTTCATCCATGACAGAAACAAAGGGGAAAGGAGACGAGCAATGATTTGGGGTTGCTCTCACCCAGCCTCAATTGTTTCATCTCTGTAATGGGGGCTCTCAGAAGCTGGGCATGGGAAAGGGATGGTGGTGTGGGGGCAGAGTTGGGGGAGGCTGCTGAGACCTCCAGGCTCACGGCACCCCGGGTTCTCTCCCTCTCAGTCAGACATCGGCTTTGGGAAACTGGAAACCTACGTGAAACTGGACAAGCTTGGGGAGGTAGGAGACTGGGTCCTCAGGCACTGTGGGTCCCCTCCCTGGTCAGCACTGCATGACCCCTGCCCAGGAGAATTGCCAGCAGGTCGGCCATGCAGCCTGGTCCAGCCTCAGGTGGTGTTCAGGGGCTCTTGGGTCCTGACCCAGAGTGTGAGGATGGTGTAGCCCGTAGGACCCTGGGAAGAAGCCAGGCTGGTCTTCTCTGGCCTGGGTTCAAATCCTGCTTGCTGCATTCCCTGGCTCTGTGACCTTGGGCTTGTTACATAACCCTTCTGGGTGCCTCGATTTCTGCCTTGGTAAAATGGGGCAGGCAGTTGCCCTACTCTTAGGATCATGGTAAGGGCTGTGTGGGCGGCTGTATAAGCGTGTGTGCCCTTGAACAACACTAGTCCATTGAGCTGCCCCCAAGGTCCCTGTGTTGACAGCCTAGGGCCAGCCCTTATGTACAGAGAGGAGCCCCCAGCCTGTCCCTCAGTGGGCTGCCATAGGAGTCCTGTTTGCAGGTATGACAATTTGGTGGCACACAGGGGCCCCAGTAGTGCAGAGCCTGGTAGGTGGAGGAGGAAATGGCCTCTGGAGGAAGAGGAGCTGGGCACTCAGGTCCGAGGGCAGGCTCTGGACGTAGGCAAGTTAGCTGGGCCTCACTGACCGGCTGCTGGATCTCACTGCAGGGCACCTATGCCACGGTCTTCAAAGGGCGCAGCAAACTCACGCAGAACCTGGTGGCCCTAAAGGAGATCAGGCTGGAACATGAGGAGGGCGCACCTTGCACAGCCATCCGCGAGGGTACTGTATCCCTGCCTCCCGCCCTCCCCACGGGGCTGCTGGGAGAATAGGCCTAGGGACATTGGGGAAGCAGCAGTATGGGCGCCTGTGATCCCTAAGGACCTAGGTGAGTCTGTTTCCCATCTCCAGTGTCACTCCTCAAGGACCTGAAGCATGCCAACATTGTCACCTTACATGACCTCATCCACACGGACCGCTCCCTCACATTGGTCTTTGAGTACCTGGTGAGTGGGGTGGGGGCTAGCATGGTGGGCTGGGCTAGACTGGGCTGGGCTAGGATAGATTGGGGCTGGTGTGATGGGCTGGGCTGGTATAGTGGGTTGGGCTGGGGTGTGGTGGCATGCAGGAACTAGGTTGGTTCCAGAACCAGGTTCTCAGATGCTTCCATGCTGGAGTGGGCCCAGGCAGGGCTCGGTTCCGGGGCAGTCCCATGGTGGGGGTGGGCTGAGGCCCTGTGCTGGGAGGGGCCACTTCCTGGGTCCAGGCTTCTGACCAGGGACAAGCTAGGGGCTGTGTGTTCCAGGACAGTGACCTGAAGCAATATTTGGACCACTGCGGGAACCTCATGAGCATGCACAATGTCAAGGTGAGAACCCCCAGGCTGGGATCCCCTGCCTACCTTGGCCTGCATCGGCTGCAGAGCCCAGCATGGAAGCCAGGCTGAGAGCCCTGCTCTGTGTCAAGAACCTCACTGAGCATGTCTCTCAGGAATACAGATAGCCCTGCTCTCCCGCTGGCTGTGGGTGGAGCATATCCCCTCCCCAAGCTTGAGCACACACACCACCTCTTGTGTGTGCCTGGGTTTCCCTGCAGGGACTTCTCCAGGACTTGGTGGGCCTCCTCTGTCCAGTCTGGGGGCAGAGGCTCAGGGTCTTCCCGATGGGCCCACCTGGTCCTTTCCACTTCACCTCCGCTCTCCCCCAGATCTTCATGTTCCAGCTGCTCCGGGGTCTGGCCTACTGCCACCGCCGCAAGATCCTGCACCGGGACCTCAAGCCTCAGAACCTGCTCATCAACGACAGGGGCGAGCTGAAGCTGGCTGACTTCGGTGAGGCCAGGGCAGGAGAGGAGGAGCTGGGGGCATGGGCACTCTGCAGCTGACTACCGCACCTGTGGGTGGGGGTCCTGTGATGCACGGATCTGTCCCTAGGACTGGCCCGGGCAAAGTCGGTGCCCACCAAGACCTATTCCAACGAGGTGGTCACCTTGTGGTACAGACCCCCTGATGTGCTGCTGGGCTCCACGCAGTACTCCACCCCCATCGACATGTGGTGAGTGAACCTCCGGCTAGGGAAGTTCCCAGGCCACAGAGACCTGCAGAACTGTGGTGACAGAGGACAGCCGCCCCCTCTGAAGCTGCTCCTTGCTTCCCCTAGGGGCGTGGGCTGCATTCACTATGAGATGGCCACCGGGAGGCCCCTCTTTCCTGGCTCCACTGTGAAGGAGGAGTTACATCTCATCTTCCGCCTCCTCGGTCAGTTTCCAGCCGCGCCTTCCTCCCTCATGCCTGCAGGGGGCGTCCGAACTCTATCTAGCCCGTGTTCCCAACTGCTGCCCTGGTTCCTCTGCACCCATTGCACCTGGGTCTTGGCCACACACACACCCTCCCACCTCCCTCTCCTCTCCCCCAGGGACCCCTACAGAAGAGACCTGGCCCGGGGTGACGGCTCTGTCCGAGTTCCAAGCCTACAGTTTCCCCCGATACCTCCCTCAGCCGCTGCTCAGCCATGCTCCCAGGTAATGGCCCCTGCCTTCCCGCAGCCCCTACGTGGGGCCACGCCCCCTCTTCCCGGGCCTGTGTCAGCTCTGCCTTCCTGCAGGTTGGATCCCGATGGCATCAGCTTCCTGAGCAGCTTCCTCCTGGTGAGTGTGCCAGCAGTCCCGCTGAATGGCTTGCTCACGGGTTCCCAGCTCATCCATCCCTGTCCCTGTCTCTTCAAGGCCCAGGGCTGCAAGCCATATGCAGCCTTGGACCCCCACCCCAAACCCCGACTCCCTCGCACCTGCTTGCTAGCATGGGCATAGAAATGCCTGTGCTCCTGTTTCTGTGATGGTAGAACAAAATGAATAATTCATGAGTTGCTCGTGGGGGGCTTTGAGCTCCTGGGCCGTAGAGGGGTGCCTATTGGAATGTCTCCCTCCACCTCCCTGGTGTTTGTGTCAGGAGCGGGGCTGCTGTAACTTTTGTGTCTCCATCCCTCATGTCCAAGCTCCAGGCTGTACTTGGGAGGCCCTGCCTGGCTGTGGGTCAAGTGAGGGCTGTACTCAGTCACTTCCCAGGGTGATTTAACTTAGTGTGGAAGTTGCCCTACCTAGGGGGACCCTGCGGCTTCCTGGCTGGGCACCCCCCAACGACCATAGCCTGATCTTGCTTTTCAGTATGAATCCAAGAGTCGCCTGTCGGCGGAAGCTGCCCTGAGGCACCCCTACTTCCGGTCTCTGGGAGAGCGCGTGCACCAGCTGGAGGACAGTGAGCATCTGAGGGCGTGGCCACCCCATGGTCAAGGCCAAGGAGATGGAGCAGTGGGCACTACGGGGATAGTGGGAAGGGGAGGCCTGTGGTTTCTCTCCTGGGTCCCTGCTGGGGGCTGGAGGCCAAGATGGGTGGTCAAGGAGCCAGTCCCACCCACTCCAAGCCTTGTCTCCTCTCACCCAGCTGCCTCCATCTTCTCACTGAGGGAAATCCAGCTCCAGAAAGACCCCGGTTACCGCAGCCTGGCCTTCCAGGCACCAGGTAGGGCCTGTGTGCCTCCCCTTGTTAGGGGGTCCCCAGGTGGTCCCAGGTCATCCTCCCCAGCAGGACTCACCCCAGGGAGCTGGCAAGGGGCGGGGCTGAGCCCTCCTGCCAGGCTCCCTCAGCCATTCCCTGGCAGCAGCCCTGGCCAAGGTACCTGCTCTCTGGGAATACTGAGCCCTTCCGGCAGTCTCCATTGGGTCAATTCTTTCCCTAGAAGGGCTGATGGCCTTGGGCATGACCAGGGATTTCCCTACCACCTGCTTTGCTCCTTAGAGCCTCCTGTGAAGCTGACACCTTAGTGTCCCTATTTCACAGGGAGTGACTTTGAGTCCTGAGTGGTGCTGTCATAATTTCATGATGGCCAAAATAGCAGGGGTGGGATTGGAACCCAGGCATCCACTTACACATACTCTCCGTGTGTCTGGGGGACCCCTGACCCTCCTGATGGAGGGCTTCTGAGCCCCCTGTTCTCATCCTTCCATCTCCCAGGACGAGGGAAGAACCGGCGGCAGAGCATCTTCTGAGCCAGACGCACCTGCTGCAGCCCCAAGGGAAAGGAGTCGCAGCTAGCACCAATGCAGACAGCATGAGGACTGAGGCTGACGGCCAGGCTGGAATCCTGCCCAGCAGCCCTGCTGGCCATGGCTGTTTCCCATCCCTGCTCCCACATGCCTCTGTCACCTGCCACCATGGGCTGGCCAAGGACCACTTCCCTGGGCGGAGCCCACAGGGTCTCAGAGACTCTCTCACCCCCGGGTGCTCGGGCACGGGAGAACCCAAGTCCTGAGAGGTGTCCCCAGGACAGTAGAAGGAAGCATCATCCCCACCTTCCTCCTCCCATTCTTCCCTGCTGGGTGCCCAGCTGCGCCCAGGGGTGTCCTGGTACTGCCAGTTGCACCTCCACCACCTCAGTCAGCCTTGCCCACTGCCTGTATCAGAATGGAGTTGCCTTAAATTGGCAGGTGGAACAGCCCCCACTGCCCTTGGAGCTGTGACTCAGCCCCTACCTGTCCCTTGCCTATCTTATCACCCATAAGCACCAAAAAACAGCCTGGGTCAGGGTCCTGGGGACGGCGCCAGATATGCATGGTCACCTTGACGCTGGTGACTGGTCAGCCCTGGCTCCTTGGGGCTGGCAAGGCCTCCCTTGTGCCCTTCTGCCTTGTCCTGCAGCTTTGCCCACCTGACCCCAGTCCCAGCTTCCCTGTGCACCTCTCCCTGGCCTGCCCAAAGGGTGGCCACAAACTGGAGGGGTGTGCATGCCCCAGACTGAGGTAGGGGACAGGGCTTGGAGCATGCGGGACCACTACCCTGAGAAGGCACCCCTCTTGCATTCCTACTCTAAATAGCAAAGGCCAAGGGGAGGCCAGGTCCTGCCCTTTCCCACCAGGCCCCTGCCCAGCCTGGCCAATCTCAGGCTACCCCCAGCTCTCACCCCTCCCCTTCCCCAGCATTGTACTGTGAACATCCTGGGACTCTGCACAAAGATAGATAATATATTTAATTCGCATAGTACAGAGATGAGCACTCTGCTGAAATGCTGCTGGATGCATGGATGTGCGGCCACACCCTTGTGCCTAGTGAGTGGGGGTGGGCTTACTGATGTCAACGAGTGAGTGTGTAAAGGAAGGCGAGAGCCAGCTTTGTGTGTATTTCTGAACCTGTGCTGGGCTCAGGAAGGAAAGGGGACCGAGCAGTGTCCCTACTGTACTCAGGCCAAGGTCAAACATGGTGAGGAGCACCAGCAGTGGCTGGGGGCAGGACGCTGAGGAGGCCTAGTCCCCAGAGACAATGCTCTTGAGGATACCAGGAATGCCAAAGGGAGCCCCAGTTAGGGATCTGGGGTCTGGCTGCTGTATTCGCAACGCAGAGCCAGAGGGAGGCTGGGAGGAAGGGTCGAGAGTGGGCAGACCCCAGGGTCAGCCAAGGCTATTGTGGTGAACCTTGGCTGCTGCAAACCTTGGCTCCACCTCCTCTGTTCCTACCCACACTGCTCTTGCCTTGGGTCTGTAGGCAGACTTAGGTTACTCGGCTTCTGGCCCATTCCCCAGGTCAGTGCCCAAGTATGTTCTTCCCAATGCAGACCCCACACCTGCCTCCTGTGTGACCTGTGAGTGGCCTTGGGAACATGGCACCTGCTGGCATTACTGGGGGAGGGGTGCTGCTTGAGGTGAACAAAGTTAGGAATGTGTCCTAAGGCTAGGGTTGGATTCTTAGCCTGGCATGAATGCCAGGGCACGTGGCCTGCTCACCTGTCCTTCCAGTGGCCATGCACCCCACTATAGTGCCTTAGCCCAGATGTGCAGTGCTCAAGATCAGGGCTGGGCTGGGAAATGTGTGGATTTGGTGGGAGAACAGCCAGAACTGGTCTTTCCCATCGAGTCCTCGTGATGCACTCCTTTCTTCCCACTTGGCACGTGACAGTAGGGTGCCAGGGTCACAACAGGTTAGACTTCCAGGCCTGTATGCCACCTTTCAAGGAGTGGCAGGAGTGGGGTGTGGGGGATGGGGATGGTGCAGGACCCAGGAGGCAGGGAAGCACAGAGGAGCCCCCATCCCTACCCTACGCCCTCCCCCACCCCCACTGCACTTTGCAGAGTCCCCATTGTGGCTGGCCATTCAGAGGCTCTCACCTCTCCCCGGGTAGCCTATCATGAACATACCTGGGAGTTCTGGTGCCTCGTGGAGGCCTCAGGCACCCAGAGTACCCAGGAGCCCATCCAGGACAAGGTAGGAGTGGGGGAAGAGGTGGGACTCAGTTGGACAGGTGTGCACTCAGTGCCTGAGCTGCCCGTGGACCAGTGATGGCTCTAGGGATGGAAACTGAGTCTGAGAGTGAGAGTTACTGAGTCACTGTTGCTGGGCACCCTGGGGCTGGGCTGAGCCCTGGGCGCCTGATGCCTGGGTTGCATGGCACCTGCATTCAGCACCTGGTTCTCTGTGCCTCTCACAAGCAGGAGCTTGCCACATGCTGCTGGAGTCCCCACTCAAAGACCAGTGGGCTCTTTCCCCAGGTTTGCTTTGATTTCTGCCTCCCAGATGGGTTGGGATGAGCTAAGCCTTGGCTGGCTGCATCCTTTGTCAGGACTGTTTGTGCTTTGTCCCGCAGTTCACAATTTGATGGCCACTGCAGAGTGGTGACGGCAGCAGCTCCTGGCCCCAGCCCTGCCCCACATTGGCTCCTACCATGGGGATCCCTGACACTGGCTCTCCCCGCTCCACCCTTCCTAAGGGCTCCTATGGCCCCACCCTATTATTGGGAGTGCTAATGCTCTAATGTTGCTAAACAGGCCTCTGCTCCTTCACCCCTGCTGGGCTCCCTGATGCCAGCCTTGCCCTATTTGCTCAGCCCCTCTCAGCTCATCTTCCCGCATTCTGGTTCTGCTCTGACCCTCACTTCTAAGCAAACAGCATTGTCCCTGGCACATATCAGCAGTCCCAGGAACTGGGCTGAGCCCCCATGCTTAGTTCCCTCGTGTACCAGTCCAGCCTTCTGGAAGCTCAGAGCCACTAGGGGAGATGGCCTTGACAGACTGTCAGACACCTGCTGTCCCCAGGTACTGAGGACGTGTCAGTCCCTGCTGTCACAGCTCACATCCTAGCAGGGGGAGAAAGATGTTCCCTGCCTCAGCACAGTCACATGAAGGGTTGAAGGTGTGAAGGAGCAAAAGTGAAGCAGGGCCTGGGCACGTGGGGACACTGACATCACAGCATCATGATGATTGAAGGAACTGGACCGCCAGCCAGGGCCAGTTCACCAAGGGCCTTGAGAAGACTGTCAGTCATCATGACATCAATTATTTTTCTCTAAGATGTGTTCATTTAATTGAAAGCAGAGTTTAGACACATACAGAGTTCTTCTATCCTCGTTTGCTCCCCAGATGACCACAATGGTCAACGTTGATCCAGGCTGAGGTCAGGTGCCTGGAACTCCACCTGGATTTCCCACATGAGTACATGTCTACTTGGCCATCCTCTGCTGTCTTCCCACATGCTTTAATAGGGAAGGGACTCTAGCAGGTGCTCAGATAGGATGCCGGTATTGGCTCAATCTGCTATGCCGCCATGCCAGCTCTATTGCTGCTGTACTGGAAGTTCCCCAGGTGGCCTTCTCACCCCGCCTCCAGTCACCTACAAGCATGGCTGATGAGTAGCCAGTAGGCACCCAGGTTGACCATAAGTCATTGTCTCCCCATCTTACCTGGTGCCTTCAGCCATAACCCAGTCCTTGACCTAGGTCCTTTGGGCCTCCCACTGTCCAACAACTAAAGGGTAACATTGGACACAGCAGGGAATGCTTGGACACTGACTGGCACAGTTACCGATAGTCCGTGGCCAGCCCTGGAGAGCTAGATGGAGTGGAGGACAATCCTGATGGGACAGTGGGGCCACTTGGCCACTTCCACGCACAGGGATTTCTCTTCCCACTTGCTTCTTTTCCCCACAGCCCTCACCCACACATTCCTGCTACTTCTCCCTCCCTCTCTGGGGCAGCAACACTCCTCACTTAGTGGGTTAGTGCATGTCACTCAAATCCAGCTGTCATCACCTAACCCAGAGGCAGACAGGGGGAGGGTAGGCAGCTAAGATGCTCTGGTCCCCCAACAGGTGCCTGGCTTTCATCCTTGGCTGCATTCCTGTTAATGCACACCCTGGTACCCATGCAGGAGACCTGGATTCCTTTCAGAGGCCTAGCCTCATGGGCATTTGGAGAGTGAGTCAATAGCTGGGAACTTTGTGACCTGCCAGGGCTCTGCCTCTGAAAGAAAAGAAAGAACTTGACCCAGCTTCTTGCCTAGGGAGGGTTGTACAGCTGCCTCTCTTCCATGCACCCATGCCTCACATCCCGGTTTCCCTTCCTTCCTGCACCTGTGCCTTGCTTAGTGATAGCAGCACAGGGCACAGGGTAGGCACCTGTCCTCCTGCCTCCCAGAACACTGTGCCCTGCTCCCAACCCTCATTTTCCTGCACCTCCTAAGCTCCTCCCTCCCTCTCCATCACCATCCACCCCCCTGTTCCCAGACTACCTGCCAGACTGCCAGAGGGCAGAAGGTTTTCTGTCCTGAGTCATGAGCTTGACCCTGACTTAGCCACTCCCAGGAGCTCAGAGTTGGCCATTCTTTATTCCTCTCAAGGAGGGCCCAGCTCCTGCGTAAGGGGAGTACCTGCTACTCACCCTTTTAGGATTTGCACTTTCTGAGACACAACACAAACTGCCTACGCCCCACTCACTCTCCCCAGAAGAGGCATCCACAAGGCCCTGAGTTCTGAGGGAGAAGGCCTCTTAGATACCACGGCCCCAGATTCAAACCTCAGCACTCTTACTTGCAAGCTGAGTCACCTGGGGCAGGTTTCCCACCCATTCTGGGCCTGTTTCCTGCTCCGTGACGCGGAGGTTGTGGTCACCCCTTTCTCCCAGGGTTGTGAAAACCAAGAGACAATGTTCAGCTGCGCGTGGGTGGTGGGCTCAGGCAAGGCTGCTGAGCTTCAGCTGTGCTCACTGCTTCCCCCTTGCCCGGGAGAGCCAGTTCAGCTTCCTCCCTGTGTCCCAGGAAGCACCCCCCTGGAAGTGAGCTTGGAGAACTACATTCTCGGTCTTTGCTTTCATGCCTCACCCTGAGAAGTTCTAACCAGCAAGACTGTATTCAGTACATTTACTTCAATAATGTTACAAGGAGCTGGTGCTGTAGCGTAGCAACTAAGGCCTCTGCCTATGATGCCAGCATCCCATGTGGGTGCTAGTTCATGCGTATCCTGATTGTTCCACTTTCCATCCAGCTTCCAGCTAATGGGTTTGGTAAAGCAGCAGAAGATGGCCCAAGTGCCTGGACCCATACTACTCATGTCAGAGACCCGGATGAAGCTCCTGGCTCCCAGCTGTTGCAACCATGGGGGGGTGGGGAAGGGAGGTGAACCAGCAGGTGGAAGCTCTCTCTTTTTCTCTCTCCTCCTCTCTCTGTAACTCTGCTTTTCAAATAAATGAATAAAACTCTTTTAAAACATTTTTTTGCAAGAGTTTCAAACAATGAGCTTTGAATGCAGCAGAAGTAAACATAAAGAAGGGAAGGCACTGAGTCAAATGTTAGCATGAGTCGAGAGCCGGGGAACTCCAGTTCCCAGGAAGGGACAGCCAGGTCCGACCTTCCTTTGTCCTTGGGTCTTTCCTCTGCCATGCAGGGCAGTGAAGCACAGATGGTGGAGGAAACTCAGAGGCTGAGAGGGGTGTGGCCAGCTGTGGTCTGGACACATAAACACCCTTCCCCCTACACACACACAACTTCTCACCCATTGGCTTCCAACGGTTGGAGGCCTCCTCACCCACACTGCTGGCTTTCAGGACCTGGGACCCACTTGGGCTGTAGGAATGAACTGCTTTTGGGTGCAGAGAGCCAGAGCTGATGGAGCAAGGAGAGTCACCTGGGAAGAGAGGATGGGGACCAAGGAGAGGGTTGCCCTGTTTCTTGCCTTTAGCAGAGGACT